ACAATCTATTATATTGTATATATTATATGAATATATATATATCTCCTAATATATAAGGAAGATTTCAACATTATTTAGCTTATACATATATTGACAGTTCTTTTCTCACCTAACTCAGGGATTTTAAGGACATCAAAAGAGTGAAATTTAGCAGTTACGTTCAAGAAAAGGATACACCATCTCTTGACCAAACTCCATTTTTCTTTGTACAACTTAGCCCAAAATGTTCAATACAGAATGCAGTAGTGTAGCCCAACAATTTCTGCATCTCTCTCTGTGAAAGGAGATAGCAGGGAAGTGATGCAAAGTAAGTTCTCGGGCTTTTTTTTTTTTTTTTTTAACACTTTTCCATCCACTGACCACCACCTTTGTTTTTCTTTTTTTGTTTGCTTGTTTGTTTCTTTAAAATATTTTATTTTCTATTTTATTGTATTTATTTATTTATTTTGGCTGCATTGGGTCTTCGTTTCTGCGCACAGGCTTTCTCTAGTTGGCGGTGAGCGGGGGCTACTCTTCGTTGCGGTGCGCAGGCTTCTCATTGTGGTGGCTTCTCTTGTTGCGGAGCACGGGCTCTAGGTGCACGGGCTCAGTAGTTGTGGCGTACAGGCTCTGTAGCTGTGGCTCGCGGGCTTTAGAGTGCAGGCTCAGTAGTTGTGTCTCACGGGCTTAGTTGCTCCGCGGCATGTGGGATCTTCCCGACCAGGGATCGAACATGCATCCCCTGCATTGGCAGGTGATCCCCTGCATTGGCAGGCGGATTCTTAACCACTGCACCACCAGGGTCTCCGGCTCTCTTAATAGCCTTTTATGGCAAGAGATGGAGAAGTTAAAGCACTGGATTGAAAACAGAACTTGATGTGATACTCGTGTTCAGGGAAAAAGTATTTCAGATTTTAAATTTAGCAACCTGGTTGAAAGTAACCCAGTCATAAAGAGGACCAATTTTGCAAAAACATTTGAAGAGTTCATCAGTTTCCTCAATGGCCTCTCAGAATGCTAGTCAGTTTATTCTCTTCTGCATGGCCCATCTTATCATCACCCTTGCCAACTTTACCTTCAATTATCTATGGATCTAACTCTGAATTATTTGCTAGTGGCTTCACACGTGATTTGTGCAGCTCTCCAGACTCCCTCTCATTTCATTAAATCTTGCAACTCTGAAGACTTGTATAATGACTATGTAGGTAACGAGGATCCCTGCGTATGTTTACATAGTGGGGATAACACTGTAATGCAGGTCTATACCGTATATTGCTACTTAACCCTACAGCACACTTATTTCACAATACCTTTAAGAATTCTTTATAAACATCATTGTAAGTGAATGACTGCTAAGAGTCTATCTTATAAATAAATTATAATCTATAATTTATTTAAACATTTCCTTATTTTGTTTTGTTTTTTTTTTTTTTGTGGTACGCGGGCCTCTTACTGTTGTGGCCTCTCCCGTTGCAGAGCACAGGCTCCGGACGCGCAGGCTCAGCGGCCATGGCTCACGGGCCCAGCCGCTCCGCGGCATGTGGGATCTTCTCGGACCGGGGCGCGAACCCGTGTGCCCTTTATTGGCAGGCGGACTCTCAACCACTGCGCCACCAGGGAAGCCCTAAACATTTCCTTATTTTGGGTAGTTATGCTGTTTCTTTCCTTCTTTCTTTTCTTTTATAAACAATGCAATAAATAACATCTCTGAACACAAATCTTTATTACATTCCTGTTTTTCCTCCTGATGGTTAACTAGAAGTATAATAACAAGGTGAAAAATTATGGACATTTTTATCCAAATTGCCAAATCGTTTTTCTGAATGTTAGCTGTAATTTATACTTTTACCAGCAGCATATCAATGTTCATGGAATCATACTTTTGCCAATATTGAGTATTACCAAGGAAAATATTTTTGAGAACCTAATATGTGAAAATATCTTCTTACTTTTTTTTTTTTTTTAAGATGTTGGGGGTAGGAGTTTATTAATTAATTAATTTATTTTTGCTGTGCTTGGTCTTCGTTTCTGTGCGAGGGCTTTCTCTAGTTGTGGCAAGCGGGGGCCACTCTTCATCGCGGTGCGTGGGCCTCTCACTGTCGCGGCCTTTCTTGTTGCGGAGCACAGGCTCCAGACCCACAGGCTCAGTAGTTGTGGCTCACGGGCCTAGTTGCTCCGCGGCATGTGGAATCCTCCCAGACCAGGGCTCGAACCCGTGTCCCCTGCATTAGCAGGCAGATTCTCAACCACTGTGCCACCAGGGAAGCCCCTCTTCTTACTTTTTATTTGAATTTCTTTGATAATGGGTTTTAAGATGTTTATGAATGATTTATATTTTATTTTCTGCAATTCTCCCAATTTTCTTCTAAAAGTTGTGAAGTTTTCTTTTCAAATTTATGTTTTAATGCACTTGGAATTTATTTCTGTGGTTGGTGGAAGACAGAGACATAATTTTGTGGGTAATCAATCATATGAGGATCATTGATGGATTAAATATGCCATCTTTTCTTTAAAAATCTCCACTGATTATTTTTAAGGTCATTTCTCTCATTTATCAAGTTTTAATTTATATGCAAGTCCATTTCTGAGTTCTCTATTCTCTTCTATTGGCTTTTTTGTCCATCCCCTACTAATACACTCTCAGTAATTTGACTTTATAGTTAAGTCTTGATTTCTGGTAGGGCAAGCCTTGTCTTTTCACTTTATTTATCAGGAGTGTCTTGGATATTTTTAACCCCTTTCCCTTACTTGTGAATTTTAGGATCCAATAAATACTTGAATGGAGTTGCATCTCTTTTATAGATTTATTCAGGGAAAATTAACCTCTTTTCAATATTGAATCTTCCATTCACAGACATGTTTTATATCTCCATTCATTCAGGTCTTTTCTTACGTACCTCAATGTTGTAATTGTCTAAATAAAGACTTTGTACAATTCATTTTCCAGATTCTGTTGATTTTATGAATGAGATTTTTTTTCATTAAGTTTTCCAATTGTTTATTCCTTACAGACATCTTTTGACTTTTTAGCAGCTTTATTGAGATGTAATTCATGTATCATACAATTCCTCCACTTAAAGTATACAATTTAATGTTTTTTAGACTCTTCAAAGCTATGGGCAACCATCACAGCAGTCAATTTTAGAAGGTTTTCATGACCTTAGCAAGAAGCCCAGCATCTTTTAGCTAGCCTTCTACTTTTCCATCCCTCCTCCACCCTCCCACAGGGGGGTTTGGACATGTCTTCAGAATGAAACAAACATCCATCTAAGAGAGTGAAGGAAATTAATAAGGGAAAGAGAATAAATAGAATAGCAGAGGCCCTGAGAACAAATGTCCATATTAGGAGGCAGTAAAAGGAAGAGGAGTTGACTAGGGAGACATGGGATCCGGCAGAGAAACAGAGATGAAGGTCGTTCAGAGGAGCCATGGGGCGAATGAATCCCACTGAGTGGAACATCAACATTGCAGAGGAAGACTGAGGCCTGAAAATCAGTCACTGACCTTTAGACAACTCCTTGGTGACCTTTGGGAGAAAAGCTTCTATGGGGCATGAGGTGCAGCAAAATCTTAGGAAAAGAAGACACTGTTCCTAAAGATCACTGATTCAAGAAGTGTGGCAACAGAAGGAAAATAAGAATAGGATTGAAAATAATGGAGGAAGCAACGAGGAACATTTCTCAAGTTATTAGAAGCCTGAATACGCTCATAGGCAGAGGGAAAAAAGTCTGTGGAAAGGAGAAACTGAAGGTGGGGTCTGCTGTGCTCATTGAGTGATGAAATGAGCATTGTGACGAAACAGGTGTTGTGGTTAACTTGTATAAAAGAGGATGCTCTTTTCTTTCTTTTAAAAAATTTTTAATTTAATTTTTATTTTATATTGGAGTATAGTTGATTTACAATGTTGTGTTAGTTTCAGGTGTACAGCAAAGTGATTCAGTTATATATGCATCTATCCCTTTTCAGATTCTTTTTCCATATAGGTTATTACAGAGTACTGAGTAGAGTTCCCTGTGCTATACAGTAGGTCCTTGTTGGTTGTTTTATATATAGTAGTGTGTATATGTTAATCCCAAACTCCTAATTTATCCCTCCCCCCACCTTTCCCCTTTGGTAAAAAAGGCTGCTCTGAACCTCCATCATCGTCATGGGTAAATCTATACCATTGCTTCCAAGTTAAAAAAAAAAAAGGGATGCTCCTTTTCTTGAAGGAACAAAGTCTTTGGAGATGACGAAGGGCGGTGAGACATTCATGTTAGTTAGGTAGGAGACTTTTCTGTCAAGACTGCTGAAGATAGTGGAGTGGGAGGGAGAAACTCACTGCTTGAAGGACATGAAGTAAGAGGGAAGAGGCGTCCACATCCCTGATATTCTCCACTTGCACAAGCTCAGGCTGGGAAAAAAAATGAGCTGTTGCCTTAGAGCAAGCTGCCTGTCTGCCAGGCCAGCAGTGACACAGCCTCTTTAAAATACTCCAGAAGCCGTGAGAACCAAACACACACACACACACACACACACACACACACACACACACACACACAGCAGCTTCAGGGGCAGACAGGAGAGCAGCCCCAGTGCATTCTGGGTTCCAGCCACCCTGTGTCCCTGCCACGTCCCCTCTGAGGATGGTGGGAAGCGGCTCTTTCCTGGGTACACAGGTGGGAGAGACCACATTCCCAATCCCCAGGCCAGCCTCTGGCCCAGCCCAGCTGGGCTGTGAACTCTACTCGCGTGATCAGGCTGGGGACAGCTTGGAGGTAGTGATGAAAATCCCTTACACTCCCTCTCATAACCATTTCAAAAGGGCTTTCCCAAAATATGATGTCATTGCATTCTCACGGCACCATGGCCTTGCTGTTGCCAGTTTAAAATGCCAATCATTAAATGTCTTGAGTGAGGCCATGCAGCTGATACTAGTATCTAGGCCTTTTGATTTGAAAACCCCGGCTCTTTCAACCACCCTCATTGTCTACACCCAGCTGATCCACTTGAGAGCTGAGGAGGTGGGTTCTGGGAATTGGGAGGCAAGAATGAAAAAAATAAAAGGTGGATGACACAAAACCTGCCACCCAGCCTGAGCTTTGCTGAGGACGGCCCCTCCCTCTGTGGCCAGGAAGTCATTCCCATTTCTGCTGGAAGGAAACGATGGTGCCTATGTATTTAAAATCTCCTGGAAATGAAAGACTCAGTGATTTCTTAGAAGCAGTAGGGCAGGCAACGTAGGTGTGTGTGTCTGGTGATGGTGGTGGTGTTTGGGACACGGACAGGTGAAGGGTACGGTGTTACTTGAAACACAAGCGGGAAATGGCCTCTTTCCTCCTCCTTCACCTTGGATGTGGACTGGTCCACTCCCAGGTGAAGGGCACTGGCCAGATGTGTGACCTGGGCGACTTCCTCCATCTCTCCTGGGTTGGGCTTCTTTTCCTGGAAAACGAGATTGGGCTAGATGATTCCTAAGGTCTGACTAAACCTAACTTGTCTCCGAGTCCATCATTCGTAGCAAAACAGAAATCACAGAGCAGGAGAAAATGTTCTTCAGGTGGACTTCCTGTTCAAGGTCTTTTCTGATTTCCCACAGGGGCAGTGAAGTCATGAACGAGTCTGTGAAACAACATCATTTTCTTGGAGGTGGTTTGTGCCCTTTGCAAAATGAACCAACTAACCCATCAGTTAACCAACTAACCCATCAGTTAACCAACTAACTACACGACTAAATCAACTCACTGACCAACACACACCCGAACAGGTAGGAATGGAAACGTCCTCTTCTGTGAAAAACAGTGAATGACGCTGCAACGGGGAGTGATGCTGAGCTCTCCGCAGCAACCCCGGGCCTGCGGGGTCCAGCAGACCCCAAATGTGAACGACAGTAAAGTACGTGGCTGACTAGACTGGTCTTGCAGCCAGGCCGGTGTGCCTTGGGATGAAATATTTCCAAGGATGGTTTTTCTCTAAAACTCCGATGGCTGGATGGCAGCCCCGGGGTGTTTCGTGACATGAACCTGTAAGCGTCTGGTACTCCCTGGCTCGCAGGGCACCGGCTACTTTGGTTTCATGTGGCCCTGCCAACAGTGGAGAGGCGCCGTGTGCACTTTCAGTCACGTGACCCGGTGACTCAGGCCCTTTCTAGTTCATGCTTGTTGGAGTTTGGGAACCAGGGAGGAAGGGTGAGAAGCTCCCGCACCAGCTCTCTGGGAGGGTCTGGGCTTGAGTAATAGTTTATCGTGTGGCTCACCCTGAACCCTTTTTATGCCAGTGTAATAAAGTTATCTTATAGTTTCAGGATTGCCATTTTCAGATGAGGTTTCCGGAGCTCATGTATCCTAGCTCCTGTCTCCAAACGGAGTAAGCCAGAATCATCCGAGGGGAAAAAAAAAGTCTACATTTCACCACTTCCTTTAATGAAATGGTTTGGTGTTTAACCACCTCGTCACCAGAAATATCTCTGTGCTCTTGACCTAAATTCACCCTGCCACGTTTCAGCGTGATTCCGGTTACTCAGGGAGACAGACTGGAAAATTCATTTCATAGCAGTAGGAGTGTCTAAGTAACCTTAAGGGAAGGTGCTTATTCCAACTTTATTTTCTCTTCCCTGCCGATCTATAGCCCCCTTTCAAACTAGATTTCAAAGGTTGAACCCCCTTTCCGAATCTTTCACTGCTGAACCCCTGTCATCCAGAGAGACCAGAACACACGAGCTTGGGGTTCATTTTTCATGCACTTGTTCTTGTTGACAAGCTCTTTTGCAAATGTTCTGAGTCTATTTCAGGTCACAGCGCTCTGTATTTGCAAGTAGGATGGATTCTCTTTAATGCAACTCTGGTGCTGTGAAAAATGCCTGGGCTTGGAGTCAGAAGTCCTGGACTTGTCACTCACCAGCTGTTATTTGAGACACATTCCTCAGCCTCAGAGAGGTTCCGTTTACTCGTCTGGAAAACAGAGAAAATGGGGCTTCAACTGCTGGGGTCATTGTGAAGATAAATGAAGGAAAATGTATGCAAGTGCTGAGGATAATGGCTCACATTTGACGGGTGACCCGCAGGCACTAATTCACATTTTTTTAAGGGCAGTGCCTATAACTTCTATTTCTATAGTTTTCCTTGTTAAGGGCTCAGGGTGCTGCTTTGCCCACTGGAGAAGCTTCGTGAGGACTGCTGACTGGCCAGCTTATTTGGTAGCTGAGGACACACAATCGGAAAAGGATTTAGGGTCATTTTGTGGTCTGAAGTCTGGTGAAGTCCCAGATTGCGGGTGCCCACAGCAGGTGGGTTGCAGGAGATGGAACGATGGGGCAGTATGTGTCTGCCGGGAAACCAGGTGAGGCAAGAGCCATAGAATAGGAATCTAGGGGAAACATAACTGAGGATTTGCTCTGAAAGAGAAGTCTGATGCAGGCATATGGGCAAGAAACGGTCCCATAAGCAACTCTGTCTCTTGTAACTTCTCCAGCTCTTAGAGTTCACCTTTGTGCTGCCTTTCTGTGTTACTGCGTCACTTCAACAAGTCCGTTCTGATCCTTATCTGTGAGAGGTGGGGCTTCTGTATCCAGGTGCTCAAGTTGATTGCCTAGGAAGTTGCAGAAGTAATTTCTGCGAAAACAACTTATTTTCCCCAGAAAGCACAGGATCTGTCCTCCATCTAGTTCCTTAGGGCTTCTTCCGCACCAGGGTCCGAGACCCCATGATATGGCTGCAGCGAGGCTCTGGTGAGTGCGGGGGACAAGTGGGGACACTGCTCTGATGTGACTCCAGGTGAAGTGGGCAGGGTTCCTCAGGGGTTGAGCAACCCATTCCACAAATGTTCTAAGGAAGGAAATGAGATTTGGGTGGGAAACCCAAAGCCTGGAGATTACTGAGGCCTGGGGAGGGGTTTGTTTGTAGAGGGTGAGGCCAGCTGAATGGATGGGGGGAGGGAGACTGTTGGAAGGTCAAGGCAAGGGTAGGTCACATCCATTGCACAGCTCACCTATTTGGTCAAAGCAAATGAAGAAGTCAGGTGGCAGCTACTCATTTATTTTTCTACCACAAGTCCCTTGACCCATGATAGGATCCTCAGATGCAGAGTTGAACACATTCGTCAGTTCATTAACAGGCTGTGCAAGGTCACAGTCTGGTTTTACCTTGGTTGCCTTTCCCTTTTATCCCTGATTATCATTCCTATTTCTCTTCTGCCCCCTCCCTCATTTCCCACTCCCCCCAGCTGCCAATCCCTGACTCACACAGGACAGTCTCTAAGGATAGGACAAGTACCCTTGGACCTGTGTTCCTACAACTTCTGCAAGAGCCTCCCCGGGCACATACCCAGCATGGGGGAATTGCTGGGCGTGAGGTATATGAATACTTCATCTTCACCAAAGAATACTTGGTTGCTTTCCAGAATGGTTGTGCCTGTTTAATGCTGCTCCCGAAATGCACAGACAAGTCTATTTCCCCAAGTCTTCTCCATCACTTGGTATTACCCAGCTTTCTAATCTTTGTATATCGTGTAAGTGTATAAAATAGTATATTGATGTTTAAAAGTTTGTGTTTTGCTGATTTCTAGGCCTTCCTAGAAATGCATATCTCATCTCATCCTTGGCATCCATCCTCTAAACTGTGTATTGCAAGTTTTGCTCATTTTTCTTTTGGGTTTCTTATCTTTTTCGTGTTGATTTGCAAGAGTTTCTTGTATGTGTTAGGTATATAATTACCTACATATGTAGATACTATAATTTGTGCTGTTCTTATCCAGTTTTGGAATCAAGGTTATATATATTATGAGCCTCATAAAGTGATTGACGTTTTAACTTCTGTAACGGTTATATATCTATGCAAGGTTTAAATTTATTCTTTGCCAACTTGTCTCTTTATTTTATTTTTTAAGGGCTATTTGTTTATTTTTAAATTTTTAATTAGTTTTTAGTTAAGTCATGTAAAATGCCATTGTATGAAATTGTAGTTTTTCACATTCTTCTTTTTAAAAATTTTTTTTATTGAAATATAGTTGATTTACAATGTTGTGCTAGTTTCAGGTATACAGCAAAGTGATTCAGTTATACATATACATGTATATCTATTCTTTTTTAGATTCTTTTACATTATAGGTTATTACAAGACACTGAGTATAGTTCCCTATGGTATACAGTAGGTCCTTGTTGTTTATCTATTTTATATATAGTAGAGAGTCTATTTTAATCCCAAAGTCCTAATTTATCCCTCCCCTCCTTTTCCCCTTTGGTAGCCATAAGTTTGTTTTCTATGTCTGTGAGTCCCTTTCTGTTTTGTAAATAAGTTCATTTGTATCATTTCTTGTTTTTTTTTAGATTCCACATACAATTTAGCACTTTTTAAATTCACTATAATATATCTAGGTATGGATCCCCTGCTTATCTATGTTTTATAAAAACACTCCGTAAGTTTTCTTCAATTCTATTTCTCTGCTCCATATCTTAACTTTCATTTTTTTTGCTTCTTTTTTTTAGAAAAAAATAAAAATTTATACGGTATTTATTTGTTTATTCTTAATTAACGTAAGTCTCATAGCGTCCTCTTATATTAATTCTCTTCTTAGTGGAGTACTTCTTCCAAGAGAATATTAAGAGAAGTTTTATGTATGCCTGATATATCATTAATTTAGTCCCAAATTTTAAACAGTTTAATTGGTGTTAAAATTCTAGGTTGAAGGTTCTTGTCTTTCAATGCTGAAAAAGTTATTTTCTTGGCCAACATTTATTATAGATATTAAAAATTCCCATTTCTTTTCAGGGGATCTATACCTTCTCTCTGGAAACTTTTAGAATTGTCATTTTTGTTTTTGGTTTCCTGGACCATATTTATTTTCTTTACTTTCTGAGCCCCATGACATGACAGCAAAGGAATAAAAACTGGTATAAACTTCCAATAATGTAGAGAACATGGAGAGAGTCTTCAGAAGATAGGCAATTATGTGATGTGTGGATTATAAGAAGTAGGACGGTCACCACATGGAACCTGGGTCCACTCATCCGATGTGCAGCAAAGCCAATCCGCTGACACAGGGCTATGGCGAAGGAAAGTATAGCATTTATTACAGGGCACCAAGCAAGGAGATCGCTCCTCCTCAAGGGATATATTGATACATAACAATCTGATACAAATCTTTGAGTTCTTCTATAGGAACTAAGGTCCTCACCCAGGTAACTTCAGGCTGAGCACAAGATTCCTGGAGCACTGCCTTGTTACCTCACCACTAACCAATCAGAAGAAAGTCGTGCACCACACAGCCCTCACCCCAAATTTTGCTTTTAAAAACTCTCCTCTGAAAACCAGCAGGGAGTTTGGGTCTTTTGAGCATGATCTGCCTGTTCTCCCTGCTTGGCCTTTGGAATAAACCTTTCTCTGCTCCAAACTGTGATGTTTCCATTTGTTTGGCCTTACTGTGAGTAGGGCACATGAACTTGGGTTCAACACAGTTTCGTTCTTGTCTAAAGAAATCAAACAACCTGTTTTTAGTGTGGGCAATAATGCCACATCTGGGATCCATTTCTATTCACCCTGAAACGGAGCCCAGTAGTCAACAGTGGCACACTGAGTTCACGGTCAGCTTTAATAATTCCCACCAGTGACTACTTACTTGAGGGAATTGTGATACATGAAAAGAAACGTCATGGAATAGAGAAATAATCTCACAGGAATACAAGAGATAATTCAGGGTAAATAAGGAGCTTGAGAGAAACTAATTTGTATCCACAGAGACATTTATGAAGACACCATGTCAATTAAACAAGAAGAAGAGGCTATGAAAAGGCTAATTAAAAAGCTGGAAGATAAAATAGAGAAAATTAAAAGACGAAGAGTATAAAATGATCAACAACAACAATAAAAACATTTAGAATAACCCAGGGGCTCAACATCCAGCTGATAGGAGATTTAAAAAAAAAAAAAGTGGGGCTTCCCTGGTGGCGCAGTGGTTGAGAGTCCGCCTGCCGATGCAGGGGACACGGGTTCGTGCCCCGGTGCGGGAAGATCCCGCATGCTGCAGAGCGGCTGGGCCCGTGAGCCATGGCCGCTGAGCCTGCGCGTCCGGAGCCTGTGCTCCACAATGGGAGAGGCCACAACAGTGAGAGGCTCGCGTATCGCAAAAAAAAAAAAAAAAAAAAAAGTGAGAAGGAATTACAGAAAAATATTACAAGAGAATTTCCCATAGTGTAAGGATACAAAAGTTAAGAAAGAAGTGTTCACCTACTCTTCACCATAATGAATAAAAGACAGCAAATGCAACATTTAAAAATTCAGAACACTAATATTAAAAGAGAGATCTTAAATCGTTCCAGAGAGAGAGAGAGGAATGAAGAAAAAATAATGATAACCCACAAATAAATGGGCACCAAAGTCTTGAAAAAGCAACTCTAGATGACAGACTGTAATGAAATACTTCAAATTATGAAGGAAAACTACTTTTCAATGGACTTCTATGTCCAGCAAAAAATTGTGAATTTTGAAGGCAGAAGAAGAGACATTTTCAGACAGTGAAGTGTTGAAAAAGCTTAATTCCACACATCTTTTGAAGGAAGTCCTTTGAGGACACACTCCCACAAAAAAATGAAGGACTAAAGCAAGCCAGGAGGAGACACAGGATTCTGGAAGCAGTACGTGCAACCCTGGACAGGAGTGATGAGAAATGCATAATGACAGTTTTGCTGCAGGTCTAAGGAGAGATCAGTACAGATTTTATAGCTGAAGGAAACATGAATGTGTATCTTCTGCCATTTATAAAGACATCATAAGCACAGAAAGTTAAGGCAGCTGAAGTTAGCGATCTGGACCCAGTTAGACTAACTTCAGAGCCTGAACTCTTAATTTTTATCTTACATTGTTTCTTCTTGTAACTTAAAGTGATTTATGGTTTCCACCAGGAAAATAAAAATTTTAGTATGTTTCATGTGTGCTAAACATGCATTTATTGGAGCCAGAATGCAAAAAAAAAAAAAAAAAAAAAAGCTATGCAAAATTGCTAAATTAAGAAATAATTTTCTAGGGCTTCCCCGGTGGCACAGTGGTTGAGAATCTGCCTGCCAATGCAGGGGACATGGGTTCGAGCCCTGGTCTGGGAAGATCCCACATTCTGCGGAGCAACTAGGCCCGTGAGCCACAACTACTGAGCCTGCCCGTCTGGAGCCTGTGCTCCGCAGCAAGAGAGGCAGCGATAGTGAGAGGCCCGTGCACCACTATGAAGAGTGGCCCCCGCTCGCCGCAACTAGAGAAAGCCCTCGCACAGAAACGAAGCACACAGCCAAAAATAAATAAATATTTTTAAAAAAAGAAAAAAAAGAAAGAACTTTCTAGAAATCCAGAAAGAGCTCCTAGAGAAATGAATGTACCATGAGGAGATACAATTTTAAAAAGAGTGAAAGGGGTTTAAATTGAGGGAGAGGTCATGGGCAGGGGGAAGAGGGGGGCAAGAGATTTTTCTTTACATTTTAAGTCTTCTGCACCTGAAGAAATTAAATTGTGTGCCTGTATTCCTTTGCAAATTTAAAATTTTATTTCTGTGTATTTTAAAAAGGGTAAATAGGGCCTCTTTGGACGATAAGCCAAATGAGGAATTACAGCAACATGCAAAGGCATGGAAGAGCAAAACGTTCATGGCTTTGGGGAGAATGGTATATGGTTTAAGTGACTGGACTGGAGGGTCATTGGGGGCTGGTAGGAGAAGACGGAGATGACTCTGGAAAAGTAGACCAGGGTAAGGCAGTGGAAAGCATCGAATGCCCATGCTAAGTAGATTGGAATTTCCTTTGTTGGCAACGGAATGTTGAAAAGTTTTAAGCAGCATGATTCCATCTGTGTTCTAGGGGGCTCATCCTTATTGCAGTGTGAAGCGGGCTCTGAGTGTGGGAAGGCAGGAAGCCGGAGGACCAGAGCAGGGATGGTTATAGCCATCCACGACTTAACGGGTCTGAAGTAAGGCTTTCAACCTGGGAGGAAACTGAAGCTCCGTACCTGTGACTGGAATCAAAAGTCCTCCTGCCACTCTAGCTGCCGCCCTGGCCTGCAGTCTGCCACCCAGCACCCTCTCTCTGGCTTGGTAGCCCCTGCCCAGCGATGCGCTGATGGGCGGCGCGTTGGGGGGCAGTGGGTGGGCCTCGTGGAATTGCAGCCCCTCCTCGCCTGGGAGCTGCTACAAGCCTACGCCTGGACGGCATCTCAGTGCAGCTTTTTAGACCTTCCTATAAACTATTTTATGGCCCCTTTTAAAGCCGTGGTTTAGTTTTTAGCATGGGACTTCTACCAGCTTCTCCCCACACCCCCCATACCCTTTAATGGTTTCCTTGGTTTTTATAAGCAGTTTTTCCGTTTTTTCCTCCTGCCTTGCTAACTCATCTAAGAAGTAGGATTTTTCCCCCTTTTTCTTTTATTATTAATATCTTTAAAATAATAAAATGGAAAGAATGAGTGTTTGTAAACTTCTGGTCTCCTGCTTTCTAGGTTCACACCCAGGGTGCCCTCCCTCTGAGGCTAATTAACATTCCACGTGCTGGGTGTGGGTGTCTGTGTGACTAGAAGCCCTCAGATGGCTTCAGCCCTGTCTCTCCAGGTACCGTGATTCCCTCCCTGCCCTCTTATCAACCTACATCCCTGCTTTTCTCCTGCCCTCTCGTTGCCAGGCAACGTAGCTCAGGGGCAATAGAGTCTGGCTGGAAGTGCCCAGCTGAAGGAGCTCTGGTGTTTCTCCTTGTGGCAGCCTGGCTGGGAGTTGGGCAACTTGCTGAAGGTCAAAGGCAGCCATCCGTAGCTGTGGCATTCTCTCCACTGGACGTGAACCTGACTCAGGGGGGGAAGTATTCGAAGGCAGGGAGTGGGGTAAAGTAGTTGGTTTTCCCTTCACATTCAAGAGGCCACATGGCTCCTCCCTTCCGTGCCGGAGCGGATCCAAGTCGAGCTGAACAGGTCTTTGTGCATTTCAGGAATGTGGAGTTCGTTTCCCTTCAGCCCTCACCTGCCACTGACTCTGCCTGCCACTGCAAAAGTGACAGATTCATTTGTGAGCAGAGGTTGAATCTGAGGGTTAGGGATCCACCTCCGTAGTACCACGTCACTCAGAATACGATCTGGAGACTGGCAGCATAGGCAGCACCTGGGAGCGTGTTAGGAATGCAAAGCTCAGCCGAACCCCAGACGTGGGAACCAGAATCTGCATTTTGTCCGAATGGCTGGGTTATTTGAATACACGTTAAGTTTGAGACTCTGATCAGATACTCTACTGTCAATTCGGTTAGAATGAGGGTACATGGCTCACAGCGGGACTCGAGTTCCAGAGAAGTCTACCCTTTCCTGCTCAGCAGAGCATCACAGAGCCATAGCCTTGGGGTATTCCATGGATTTACGGAGAAGGGGGTGTGCAAATGCACAAACCATCTCTCCTGATGGGAGCCCTCCCTTTCTCCATCCGCCGTGACCTTACCCAGGTTCCCATGGCGACGCACTCTCAGATTCATGATCCCAACTCGTCCTCACAGAATCCTGGGAGTTAACAAAGCGGGGTTATTAATCCCATGGGAAACAAGGACCCCCAATTTTATCTATGAGGAAATGACTATCTTGTTCAAGGTCACAGAGCTACGAACTGGACTTACCCTTGTGATTCCCACCTTCCTTCTGCATGTGACCTAGACTAGATTTCCAGCCCTTTTCAACACAAAGCTCAGAAAAGTAATTATGGAGGAAAAAAAGCAGTCAGAAGCACCATGTTGGGTTTGGTTTGACTCATAAATTCCACCACGTAGGGCTGAACCTGAAGACTTCTTCCTGAGACTCTGCAAATGATTCCAGTAGTTCAGAGGCCCTTTGAACAAGAGGTTACATGGATTGAGTTTCAAAGAAAAGAATGTCGAAAGAAATCTCCCAGATGAGGATGGCCTCCAGATGTGAACATGGCTCTTCCAGATGTGTGGGAGAGTGGGGCGGGGGAGTGAGAGGCCTCACATGTCTGCAAGATGAAATGGAAAAACCGCTCGCAGCCACGGGGGCAAGGAGGACAAGCGGAAGAGGAATGAGACGGGAGGAACAGAACCCAAGTTCAATTCTTCAGTGCAGGGGCCAGATGAACTTGAAGCGCTCATTCCCAGGTGGGCTGACGTTTAAAATCTGTGGTCCACGGGGAAGCCACACCTCAGACTGTGCTGCTGAAGAGAAAACTGAGAAGGGGTTGTGCCTGCAGGCCTCTGAACAGATCTGATCCAGCCCCATCAAGGAGTTTCCCAGGCGCGCCTGCAGGGCAGCCCGGGCGCCTGGAGTCTTACTCAGGGCAGCAGGGAACCGAGGCTGGAATGCGGAAGAAGGAGCCGGAAACTGCCCAGTCCTTCCTTCCTTCAGCTTCTGAATCAGCAGCTCATTCTCTCGGGCCTCACCTGGTTTGTTCTTTCACCAGGGCTGGGAAGTCCCGTGTTTCTCAGGTGAGTAAATCTGCATGGAAAACGGAGGCCTTGTGGCCAAGTCATCGTGGTTTGTCACATCTCTGAAAGTCAGAGCTATTGTCCAACTCCTGGCTGCAGGGAATAAAATACCTTTATTGGCCTCAGCCAACATCTTCCCTGTCTCTGGGAAGACCTGCCAAATCCCTGCTCCTGGTGTACGTGTCTCTCCACTTCCCCACTTTCCCAAGCCTTCCTTTCCTTCCATGTAAAGACGGTCCCCGAGCCCCTGTGTCTGTGTCACTCTGGACATGTGATTTGCATTCCCTTTTACCTGTCCAGTAATTTTTAGCAAAACAAATAACTCACTCTGCTCTGGCCCCACTGGTGAAGTCCATATTTTTATTTCTCTCTAAGTGTTCACAGAATCTGAAGAACACATTCCAACAAAATGAGTACATTTAAGTTGTTTATTATGATGATGATTTGGCCTGTCTGTGTAGCTTGGGCCCTTCACAGTGAAAGCACAGAGTCCTAACCCCTGCACCACCAGAGAATTCCCTGTTAATTTATATTATTAAAACATGTGTCGCAAGAGGGAAG